AAAAAAATCAAAAACTGTTGTCACTACCAACTACCACTGTCCACCGTTCTGATTTTCCCTGCTCAGTGATATATCCACTAGGAAGCCCACTCTGTTAATTGGCAGCTCCACTGTCAAAAACATGTTAGAGGCACCATTGTCAATTGTTTGCCGGGGCCAGAACAGGCGACACCAAATCCTACCTGGCTAAGGACAAGCTTAAATATAGTAAGATGGTTATTCAGGCTGGTGGTAATGACACTACTCACTAAAATTAGTATTGCTTCTGTGTGTAAATTTGCCAAAACAATGCCGGACTCTGTAATTTTCTCTGGTCCCCTCTCTGATCTCACCAGTGATGAAATGTTTACCCTCTTGTCGTGAATCAATCGCTGGTTAACGAGGTTGTGTCCTGAAAACGATGTGGGCTACAGTACATTGTTAATTGGCATTTTTGGGGGAAAACCTGGTCTAATTCGGAGAGACGGCATCCATCCCACTTTGGATGGTGTAGCTCTTCTTTCTAGGAATATAGCGAAATTTATTAGTCCTCCAAAAAAACTGACAACCCAGAGTGCAGAGTTGTTGTAGAGTCTGCAGCTTGTGTACTGTTAGCCACTCATTACTCCAGCCAGAATGTGTCTAGCCCACGACCAAAATCAAATAAATTACAAAATAATCCTAAAGGAGTAAATCATGATGATCTATAAAAATAACTAGCATTGGGAAAAAAGTTAAAAACTATCAAATGTGGTGTATTTAACATAAGATCTCTTTCTTCAAAATGTCTGTTAGTTAATGACTTGATTTTTGATAATAATATTGATTTATGTTTTCTTATGTTAGCATAAATGAGGCAACTCCTTCTACTAATTTAAATGTTCACATACCCAGAAATTCTGGGTGAAGAGGAGGAATAGCAACAATCTTTCAGTCTGACTTACTGATTACTCCAAAGCCAGTTTATAATTACAACTTTGAACATTTAACCCTTAGTTTCCCTTATCCAAATTGCAAAGCAGCAAAACCTCTTCTTTTTGTAACTATTTATTGTCCACCAGGTCCTTACTCTGATTTTTTAGATCTGTTTTCAGAGTTTATATCTGATTTAGTTTTTAATACTGACAATGTAATTATAATGTGAGATTTTAACATCCATGCTGACAATGAAGGTAATAGTTTAAAGGCAACCTTTAAAGCTATAGATGGCCCTTCCATAATGATAGTGTGCAACACCTTAAGTATTCAGAAAAAGGAGCTAAAAAAATCTGACTTCTACTGTGTGAGAACTGCAAGCCTCTAAAACCTCTGACCCATCCCTGCCATTCAGTCTGAATGGAAAAAACAATCAGATGCATTCATCTCTGCCCCCTCTCCTCTGCATCCCCACACCACGTCTGACCATTG